CTTTGTAGGGACTAGATTAAGGATATGGGCGGCAGTCTCTAAGGCATACCCCCAGAATGAGATTGGTAGCGAAGCTCGACTCATCATGGAACGAACCATGTCCAACAAGGTTCGATTACGCCTCTCAGCCACACCATTCAACTGCGGTGTCCTGGGAGGTGTCAATTGTGAGACAATCCCACATTCCTTTAGATAGTCGAGGAACTCTGAACTAAGATACTCACCACCTCGATCGGATCGAAGCATCTTAATGTTCCTGCCCAATTGATTCTCGACTTCCTGTTTAAATTCCTTAAACTTCTCGAAAGTCTCTGACTTATGCTTGATTAAGTAGACATATCCATATCTACTGTAATCATCGGTAAAAGTCAAATAATAACGATTAGCATCCCTTGTGGCATGTTTGAATGGTCCACACACATCCGTGTGTATAAGGTCCAACAAACCTTCACCCCTTTCACACGAGCCTGTGAAGGGTGACTTTGTCATTTTTCCAAGTAAGCATGATTCGCAACTATCATTTGACTTTAGGTCAAACGACTCCAAGACTCCATCCTTTTGGAGTTGGCCTATGCGTTTCTTGCTTATATGTCCAAGACGACAATGCCATAATGATGCTTTATCCAAGTTATTATTATTAGTAGAATCAATACACAAAACATTATTTCCTAAGTTATCTACAATAGATACAGCTTCATACACACCATCACAAGGTAATGCTTTAAAATAAAGAACATTATTAAAGAAAGCATTAATCGAACCAACTTCATTATCAAACGAAAAGGTGAAACCTTGTTTGTACAATGCATGAAAGGAAATAATATTTCTTGCCATTTCTGGCGAATAACAACATTTATTCAAATCTAAATTTAACCCACTACTTAGCGATAAAGTATAAACTCCAATCTTGGTGACAGGTGTAACTTTCCTATTCCCCATGATTAAGTTTATTCTTCCTTGCTCACATTCTCACTTCTTCCTAGTCCCTGCAAGTCACAACAAATATGAATACCACAACCGGTATCAAGGACCCAAGATTTCGAATGGGGTGAGTTATTAGAAATGATAGTGTAAATACCTGCATGGTTGGGTTTGACTTTCCCATCCTTCACATCTTGCTGGTACTTTGGGCAGTTCCGCTTCCAATGAGCTTTTTCATGGCAATAGAAGCATTCAGCCTCTTTTGGGTCAGAAGAAGGAGTAATGAAACCTTTCTTGGTTCCACTTGAAGAAGAGCCATCAAGGGTCCGAGCCTTGGTACCCTTTGAAGATCTCTTTCTCTTCCTCCCTCGACTTTGCCCGATTGCCAAGACCGGAGTTGAGTCTGGAGTAGGAGTGATAGCAACCGACTTCCCCTTAAGACCTGTTTCTGCGGTCTTGAGAAGTCCCTGAAGTTTGCTGAGGGTGACCTCTTCCTTGTTCATGTGATATGTCATGCGGAATTGATCATAGCACGATCGTAAGGAGTGCAAAATGATATCTATTGCAAGCTCCTCAGGGAAGTTCACATTGAGCTTCAGCAAACGATCCACATACCTTTGCATTTTCTGCATGTGGCTTGTGACGGACTCTCCGTCCTTCATCATGGTTGTTATCATGGAGCAGATGACTTCGTACCTCTCTTGTCGTGCACTTTGATGGTATCTTTCCATCAAATCTTGGTGCATTTCATAAGGGTAGAAGTCTTCATAAGACTTTTGGAGTTCAGCTGTCATGGTGGCTAACATGATGCAAGCCACCTTGGTTGCATCTCTCTCATGAGTATGAAAGGCAGCGATCTCCTGGGGAGTTGCAGTGGACTCGTCAATTTCCTTAAGCTCCTTGTCAAGGACATATTCTTTGTCCTCGTAGCGGGTAATCATCCTGATGTTTCTGATCCATTTGTTGAAGTTGGATCCATCAAAGGTGACTTTCCCACATAGACTCATAAGAGTAAAGGAGCCATTAGGATTCGAGCCAGAAGCATTAGTTGAAGACATCTGAAAAAGAAGAACAAGTTTAGTTTAGATTTAAGAGAGTCCTTAATAAAACACCCAAATGTAATATTAAGGCTAGGATCCAATCACAATATAATATAACTTAGAAGAGGTATGCCGTAATCTAAGCTATACCATATTTGAAAGGTAGGTGAATGACGATTCACCAATTTCCACCACGAAAACCGAAACATTAAATATTTAGTTTTTATTGGTTTTAGAAATTCCTAGATTCTTTGAGATCCAATGAACTTTTCAAAGGCATGTTTCAATCTCGGGAGTGCCCTCCAGGTTTTGTGACTGGGATGCCGAGGATCACAAAACGAGGTGTGAAGTAACCATGCAAATCACTTGGTACCCTTAAAGTTTATCACTCAATCGATGTGCCGGTAAACCACACACGCTCCACCGATACTATAATAAACCTTAAGTCACCCTTTACCTACCTTGTTAAGTCCAAGTTAGTGTGCCGGTTAACCACACACGCTCCACCAACGACTCAGACAAAGTGTAAAGTGTAATTTCATGGATTAGCACCTTATTCACATTTTTCCTAAAGTAACTAAGATTGGGAATTTAATAAGCATTTAGTTACTTTATTATATTCATCATACTTTGAATGAGAATTTATAAGTCCTTGTCTTACCCGTTCGGCTAACGACCCTCCACCAGTCAAGCAAGCGGTGGGTGAGAATATTCACCCATTAAGTCACCATTTTATAGGCAACAACCTTATACCCACCTTATAGACCGGCTTCGTGAATGAGGCGTACTAGCGGTAAGACGACTTTATTCTTATACATATATATATAATTATTAAATTATCATAATATAAGTATAAGGGTTGAATTTTAACTTTTAAAATTCTAGGGGTTGGAACTAAAGTTTTAACTTAACTTTACTTGTTCCAAAACTTGAGGGCAAGTTTTGTAACTTTCAAAACTTTTCATTTCTTGTAACTTATGAGTTTAATAGAGTCATAAAATGAAGACTCTTCATTTTTATAACTCTTGTGTTTTCTTAATGGTTTTAACTCAAGTGTGACTCTTGGTTTTCCATAACTTAAGGATAAGTTATGGACTCCATTAAAACACATTATGATCAAGAATTAAACTACCAAATAGGTTACAAATAATTCCTATGATCATCTAAAACATCATAAGAACAAGAACATGAATATGAACACAATCAAAAAATTACATAAAACTTTGTAATTTTTGATAACTAGTTGTTGTAAATGAATTAGCAAGACATTACACCACCAAAAACAAGTTTACATTTACTAAAACAGTTTAGGGTAATGTTTCTAATTCATTTTCCAGCAACTGAATCGAAATTCTGCACTCATTCGACCCTACTCGCCGAGTGCATGAACATGACTCGCCGAGTTGGTTGAAGATACACATGGACTCGACGAGTCCCCCAATAGACTCGACGAGTCCATTCGCAGACAGCAAATTTTCGATTCTGTTTTCAACTTTTAAGCACAAATAAGAACAAACAAGCCTAGGCTCTGATACCACTGATGGGTTTTGAGCATTCTAACACTTCCTAAGTGTACATGCAACCCTAATAACCTTGGATCTATGTTTGTCTAATTTGTCATGCAAAGTTGATTTCCAAGGTTATATTCCTATCTAGCATACATGGGGAACAATTTTAACATAAAGTATAGATAGAATAACTTACCTTGTTGTTGCTTGTGTTCCTTGAAACCTTGTGAGCCTAGCACCCCAAGTGTGATGCCTCAAATGCTTCACACAACACCAAATGCTCTTGGAAGAACTTATGAGAGAATACTCACTTCTTCAAAATCGGCCAAGCCCTCTTGATTCTTAGTGTGTATGTGTAACCGATTTGGGAGGAGATCATATTACTTATATAGTGTTGACACATCTAGGGTTAAACCCTAATGTGTCATGACTCTTCATTTCCATGACCCATGGGTTTGTAACTCCCATGGAGCATCCATGGAGCATCATATGGGTGGAACCCAACTTGATGATCCATGGAGCCTTTTAGCCCACTATACAAGATATGGATGATTTACTTAATCAACCCATATATTTAATTAGTTATCTTTTGATCACTTAATTAATTCTAAATTAATTCTTGATCAAACTAATCAAATAATATTATTATTAATATATTAGAACTTATAATATATTAATAATCTCCAAGCGTTATTTCTCTCATTTAGTCTATCCAATTGCATGGTGCCATGCAACCCAAATGGACCATGCCGGGTCGGGTCAAGTACATACCAGAAATAGTTATGGACTTAGACACCTTATCCAACATTGACATCATATTTGTAATTGATTTTGAACATGTAACGTTTGACAAATGTAAACTTTCAATTATATATATATATATATATATATATATATATATATATATATATATATGATGGTTGTATTGCTTTCTTTACTATGTATTCACTTGTTACGCTACCACATGAAGTCATCCGCCCCCGAATGTTTCCGCCGTTCAGGTTTGGGGGTGTGACATTTTCCATCAAATTCCTTCTTAAGCTTCAAGTCGCCAACATATTCCTTATTGAAGGCATAAATTTCTTCAATCAAGGTTCGAGTTGCATCTATAAGAACATCAAATTTATCCTTGATGCCCACATAAAACTTACCCAACTTCATCACTTTAGTTGAAATGAATCAACAAATCCTTGAGCTTCAATTTAATGGACTCTTTTAAAGAGTTCACTAGCATCTCAAAAATTTCATGTCACTCACAAGAAACATTTTGTAACTCATGGACTTCATGTTTGTAAGAATTAGACTGAGTAGCAAGACGCTCTTTGAAACTTGTAACAACATTATCTATCAAAGTCCTTATTCTTGACTCTTGGGACTTTAATAGAGACTCAACCTCTTCATTATTCAAAGAGGATTTCCTACTAGTATCTTTCAAAAATTGAAGAATGGTGTTGAGTTCAGAGTTAAGGATTTTGTATTTCTTGTATGACATAATTGCATTGTCATCAACATTATCCTCTTCATGATTAAACTATGACTCAACAAATCCAACCATTTCATCATCTTCTTCATCTTCGTTATTTGGTGTCTCTTGATATGTTGATTGAGAAGAGAATAAGGAAGTGACAGGCTCATTGATGACACCTTGGAATGTAGGAGAAACAACAGGAACTGTTCTTGGTATGATAGTTGACGTCGGTTGTGGTGACGAAGGTGGTGGTGATGGAACAGTTGAAGTGTCGATATCAGATGTTGAATTCTCCTCACCCATGGTAACATTTAAGTCCTTATTAGATAAGTTCTCGTGGATGTTTGAAGATTTATCCTTCCCTATATTGGGCTTGAAAATAGAACCTTTAGGTAACACCAAAATTCATCACCATGAAACCTTTTTAGATCAAATACCCAACTCTACCAAAAACATCACCATTTTCAACGTTCTTCATCAAGTTCTTGAATGTGTTCATTAGGGGAATCCAAAAAAACAATTTAAAGATTATTCAATCCTTCAATTTACTCATTCACTATCAATTGATTCATATCAAATCATAAAACCAACATATGTAAAATTCCATTAATGAGCTCAATAACGTTTTCAAATCAAATACGAATAATGATCATATGAAGTACAATAGATGAAGATCAATTGAGCAAATAAATCAAAATCGAATTGAAGAACAAATCGATAGCATACAAAATCAAATCGAAAGAGATTGTGTAAAATAGATCAAAAGAATTACAAATGGATTCAATCTCTCGATAAGTGACATGTGAAGCAAATGTCAAAACAATTTGGATTCAGATGGGAAATACAATTTTACAAATTAAATCAAACGAGAAGATTGATTTATAGATTAAGCAATCAAAATATAAAAACGGGATATGTAAACTGAAAAGAGAAATCGTACAAATCAATATGTAATGAATTTTGGGCTCAAAATATGGATATGAATAGTAAGTGATTGAATATTTATGTCAAAAAGAATGGATCGATGAACATTAATAAATAATTTTTGGGCTTGAAATTGATATAAATTGATGAACAGTTACCAACAATAAGGTTTGGGCTAATTCAATGTTTATTGGGATCTTAAATGAATAAAATCGAATCAAAATAATTTTAATTCGTTTTCGGCTAAATCAATCAAAGAAAAGTTGATTGGATCAACAAATTCAGCTTGAATCTAAATAGATCCAATCGTAAAATCATTATAAGCATTAATTTCAAAGAAAGATGCAAACAATTAAGAGAATTGGAGAGACTCACCAAAGATTTTTAATCTTGAATTGATTACGCATGAATGTAATCAAATCATGAACCGTTCCATGAACTAATCACTTGAATTTTCATGATTTGACTCTGATACCACTTGTTACAAAATGAACCTTTGATTTAACATTGCGGAATGTAGAAGTGCATAATCGGAATAAACGAATTAACTTTAAGCATGATTGTATAAATAAAATGGGTTAGAACAAAACATGTAGTATCATGTACTTGCTACTACAATACTCTCCCCCCTCTCTCTCTAACTACTATATATATATATATATATATATATATATATATATATATATATATAATGGGAGCTCTCTCACCCTGCAAAAAATATTGAACTGCTATATATTGGGAAGCTTAACCCATAAATCATAAGGCTATTCCCACACATGTCATAAAAAGGATGAAGCTTTCAATTCATCATCAAATAGAGAGCTTTGCACCCCAACAATGCGTGCTCTTAAAATTGTAGGCATTACTAAGGATATATGCATGATTAATCATTGTAAAGTATGCTCTGGAGACAGTGGTCACAGTAGAATCACCTTAGATGATATTCTAAGAATGAAAGAAAGCTTTTGAGATAGACACGCAAAGTTCTTCTTTCCACATCTAGAAATGAAAATTATCTTCTTGATTGACCAAAATTTGTGTTGTGGCTTGCCATGAGTACTATGAAATTGGTCAACTCTTTTCTTTTCATTCAAAATTTGATCATTATCGTGTGCGTTAGGAAAGAACCCTGAAATTTTTGAGTAGTAATGAGATAATAGAGAAATTGGGAGATCCAACTATTCAAAATCCATTGTAGGAAGTTTATAGGTACTGAGGGATGTTAGGTAGTGTGAAAAAAAAATCCTTTTCTGATAATTAAAGGGAGTGATTACGGGACAAAAATAAGGTTGCTCCTTGATCTGTTGATAAAATATACTTTCTTTCAAGGCCATATCAAGTTAAGATTGCTCTTCTCCAGTTAAGTCCTTGGACGGTTAAAGTGGCTTCATTGGACTTATCTCAAACGACTGCTTGCTGCCACACTTTTTCCTTTTATCTTTGATTAAAGTTCCTAGAGTGATAGGATCAATGAATTTCCTTTCAGCCATCTATGACTATTTGATATGCTTTTAGGGCATTTGTTAAATCTGATTTAGTTTTAACTGTTGGATAAAGGTGTTTAAGGTCCTAACTAAATTGGTATAATGTTGATGAATAAAAGTAAAGTCCTTTTTGGGTTGCCCTCATAACCAGGAAATGGCTTAGATTAATCAAAGGGAGGAGATAAATGATTTATTAATATATTATATGATTAATATACTAATCATCAATGGTAATAATTAACTAAGTATTAATCAGAATTAATTATGGGTTAATGAGAATAATTAAAGGTACAAGGTTTGAGTTGTAATTTGTAACATCCCGTGTTTCCAGATATTTTCAAATTCTTCCTTTCTAGAAATTAACATGTCATGTTGGTCCTTGAATTTGGTTGAATTTAGCCCTAAGAGGCCCGATGGGTAAATTGGTAATTTTGGTAGGAGGAGGGAGTATGTTAGGCGTACATATGAGTACGCTAGGCATACTAGGATGTGCCCTAGTACGCTGGGCGTACACATATGTATGCATGGTGTATGTATGTCTGGGTGCAACCCTAACTTTTAGGGTTTGTTAGGTATTTAAGCCCCATTATGGACCCTTTTCCCCCATCCTTTCAGCCTCCAAGTCTTGAGATCGTTTTCGGCAACCTTAGCTTCTCTTTTGTGTGAATGTGAGCTAAGAGTGTGTTTCTTGTGTTGTTGAAGAAGAAGAAGTTGCATCAAGGTGTTTGAAGAGTGAAGCAAGTTTGTAGATCTGGGATCATCTTGTAATTTAGAAGCTCTAGAAAGTAAAAAGCTTTTGCCTTTGTGCTTGTATTGTGTAGATCTTGTTTTGATAGCTTTTTGGTACTCTTCTTATCCCAAAAGTCCTAATATTATGCATGCTATGTTTTAGACATTTTAAGTTGTCCTTTCAGACCCTAGGAAGGGTTCTAAGTGATAAAAATGAAGTTATAATGGTTGGAAGTGCCCCCGAATTTGGCAGAAAGCTCTTAATGGGCTAAGATCTTGTATTAAGAACTTTTGGACGTCTAAAGTTGTAAAGTTGGAAACTTTATGACTCTAAGGTGCATTTGGACCATGGATCTGAAGTTAGGGCTTAAGTGCTTAAGCCATTAAGCACTTATTGGAGTTTTGGACTCTACGATGGTATGCCCTGCGTAGTGAGGAGTACGCCCCACATAGGCGGTCAGCACTCCCGTTTCCAGCTAACGTAAGGCTCCATTACTCCCCACATAGCTTCGAAGTACGCTCAACGTACGTCTTCTGATGGGCCTTTTTGAGTTAGGCTGCGGTTTTGGGCTATGTTTGGGATAGTACGTCTTAGGCCCTTGTTGGACATTCTGAGTATGATGGTTAGACCAGTTAGAAAGTTGGACCTTAGTATAAGGCCCAATAAGGAGTTGGGGTCCAATTTGGAAAATTGGGCCAATCATGAGCCTTTAAGTAATTGGGGATTTGGATCTAAGATTTGGACTTGGGTCTTGGCCCAATTGAGGAAAGGGTGAAGTGGAAAATTACCCTATACTTGGTCCCTTAGCCAAGAGTTGTATTCTAATTATTGATTAAGTGTTCATTTATTATGATAGTTCAGGATTTTCTGTGAGTCTACAATTAGAGGTTTCAGTTCAATTCGACATTGTGAGGTGAGTCTTCTTCACTATACTTTCGGGTCGAAGGCACCAAGGACGGCCCATTGATTTGATAACTTCATGTTGCTAATATGCAGAATATGATATAGTTATACATGCTAGTCTTGTTATGCTAGTTTGGTAGATCTGTAGGACTACCTGTGAATTGCTTGTTTATCTGCTTATGATATTATCTGTTATATGTCAACATATTGTGTGGGTTGGGCTGAGGTTGTACTGCTTTGTGTGGTAGCCAACAAACTATGGAGCATACCAGATATGCGATGAGGGCCTAGAAGGACATGCCAGACTCATACTGAGGTCTCATGGGCATTCCATATGTGAGATGAGGGACACAAAGGGCATGCCAGACTCGTATTGAGGATCGGGGAGAAACCTAGACATAAGTCGAGGGCTAAAGGGGCAAGCCAGATTTATACGGTGGGCTCAGGGGTAATCCAGTCTATTAGTTGTGGTCCCATTACATGCTGATATTATATTTGTACTATTTGTTATGTATTGGTATTTTGGGCGAACTCACTAACGTTTGGGCTTACAGGTTTGGGTCATGTTTCAGTTACTTCAAAGGATCGCGGGAAGTTAAAGGCGTGATCATGCACCTCCTCATATTTTGTTTTTATGATTTTTAGAAAACCATGATGTGAAAATTATTTTAAAACAATTTGTAAACAATGATGATATAGGGTCTGTTTTAAAAAAAAATTAAAATTTTCATGAATTTTATGAATGTTACAAGTTGGTATCAGAGCCTTGGTTTGAGTAAATTGGAGGAACACTCATTCGAATCCAGTCTTAAACTAAGGAAAGGATTTTCAAAATGTTTTTCAAGCGGTTTTCAAAATACTAAAGGAGGATGCGAAGTGTATGATCAACCGGAGCCAATAAGTCGATCCCAAAATACCATGCTATTATTTGATATTGTGATATGATAGAACGACATGCTAGTACTAGGTTAGGGATCTTTAGGAGTTTCATTATTGAATTGTCTAATCATATGATGTCTGATAGCCTAGGGCCTTTTCTTTTATGAATTTGACATCATTAATGTAGTTGCTTAGTATATACATCACAACTATATATAACTAAGATCTTATAGCCTGAGAATGTTTAGTTTAGCCTTATTTCATGTTCTTGTTTGATGAAGGGCTTATGGTAGGATCAGATATTCGAATTTCTATAGGGCCAAGTGTTATGTATGGCTAGCATATGCGAGTATTGCATGGTTGGTGGAAGTTTCATGGATGAGTTGTGATGGGTCAGTCGATTGGTAGTGATATGTTTAGTTTTCCTCTAGGATTGAGGACTATGTGTTCGTTCATGCTTGGGTGTTGTTATGATCCTTGAGACAACATGGGTAGGTGTGGAAGGTAGTATAGACCCGTACTACTGAAAGCACATGACCCGTACGCGTATCAAGGAAGTCACAACCCATACGATTTATT